TTCCTAAATTAGGATTTGGAGTTTTCTGTTTGTTTGGTTAGGTTTGGAGAACACTGCTTAGAACCAGCTTGCCTCCAAAACCATCAGGCACTGTGATGGCAAAAGGCAGTGCTGGCCCCCAGTACTGGTACTTGGTTGGGAAGTTCCAGAAAGTTTTATTTACAGCTTTGATTACTATGGTGAGCTGTAACATTCTGAGAACAATTTAAGGGTATGAAAATAATTGGTATTCAAGAGTTCTAGATTTTTTTTTAAAGTGATTTGGCAATGATATGTTTATTGGGATAATTCTTCTCCCTGTATGCAATACAGTGAAGCAGTATTTTGCGTTTTCGGCTGTCTAATCAGCTTGATTTAAGACATGCAGAATATTAAGACCCTTGATTGGAAGCAAATTTAGTTGTAGACAATTGAGGAAAAATTTTTACTCTGGTCCTCTTTTCTCCAGATCTTCACAGCACCCTCTGAATTCCAGATTGCCGTTCATGATGTTTAAATAAAGCTGTGCAAACATTTACTGGAAAAATACTAACTTTGAATCACTGAAGTAAGAGCTGACACTCTTTATTTCTGCTCGCTAGGAGAAAAACCAAAGTCTCCACTGCTCAGTTTTGGAACTGTCTGCTAAAACAGGCCAGCTGCAAGCAAGAGAGCAGGAGCTTCTTACTATGCTTAAGCTGAAGGTAACATCTGTTGTCTCATCAGCAGTAAATGTGGTCAAACTGCAGTGCAGTTGCTGGTGACTGTGCTGCAGTGGGGTAGTCACTGTTGTTTAATTCTTAGGCTTGTTTGAGAAAAGTGGTCCACAAACAATAAACTGGTTTATTTTCATAAACAAGCTTGTTTCCTGGCTTTGATTTTTGGGGTTTTTTTCCTCAAGAGCTCAGAAGAAAATCTGTAAAATATCTACAACTGCGGCAGTAAGATGTACTATTGTTTTGTCAAAATCAGTACATGAAGGTAAAACAATAATCAAGAATACCTTCTATTTCATATTTCAGGACGAGGTTATACTGCAGGAGGATGTGCTATTGTTTTGTCAAAATCCGTACATGAAGGTAAAACAATAATCAAGACTACATTCTATTTCATATTTCAGGACGAGGTTATACTTGAAACAACTGATCACATTACTGAGTTTACATCGAAATTCAGAATGCTGGAAAGTGCATTGCGTGCAGCAAAGATGGAGGAATTGAGTCTCAATGAAGAAAAGCAAGACCTCAAACTGAGACTGAAAGAACTAATACTTGAAACAAATAAGCTGAAAGGTAAATGTTTATGCTGGGCACCTAATTCAGTGCAGACCAGCATGATCCCTTTTCATTCTGGGAAATACTGTGTTTTGTTTTAAAGATAACCTGTATGAAAAGATAAAGGAAAATAGTAAGCAGCAGGAAGAAATCATTCACCTCAGGCAAGAAAACATCTCCTTGAGGAATGAGCTTACGCTGCTTGGTAAGTGTGGGCAGGTGGCTTCTCATACCTGAGCTTTCAACTGCACAGAGACTTCTAGACAGCATCAGTTCACTAATACCTGTGAAGGAGGCAGCTTCTTACCTGCCTTTCTTGCAGTTTAATAAAAGCATATGCCTTCGTGTGTCATTCTTCTATGAAAGCAGTAACTGGGGCCTCTGCAGGGAGAGTTTATAAAGTCTTGTAAAGTTGACCAATATGATTATGCATGGAGGAATGGCTCAGAGGATTCTCTCTTGAAAATTTTTGAGACCTTTATGTCTCGTGTGGTATTGATACGATAAATGGGGGTGCTGTTCTCTCTTCTGACATAGGTTGCACAGAAAGTGGTGACCTACTGAAGAGAAACCATGCGCAAAACCTAAAGCTTAGGCCCTATGAAATTACCAGCCCGTTCACTCTCTCCAGTTTTGTATGGAAGAAGTATGTTTACAAATTCACTTTTTCTCTTGTTTTTTTCTTTAACTGATGGGTTTGGTTTAGACAGTTTACCTTGAAATATTAGGTGACCAAAGATGTCCTCTGCTGTGAGATGATTTGCTTGCCTATGGCTTTTTATCTCTCATTACCTTTGCCAAATATTGATCCCATGTCTTGTTATTTTAAAACCAATAGCAATGGGCAGTATTTCCCAATACAAGGCATGAATTAGAACGAATGACTTAATTTCCTTTCCATGGAAGAATGTTAACATGAAAAAGTAAAATAAATCAGTCTATGAAGCAGAATATCACTGTTAGTAAAATAAAGCTGCTGGTGAAAAGTCCAGGGAATGTACTTGATCTGTTTAGTTGTTGTGTGGTTTTTGTGCTGTTTTTATTTGGAGGGGAAACAGATCACGTTGATCTTAAGGAAATCCTTTTAGTTAGGTACCTGCCTCTACTGCAGCATATGCATTAACAAATGTGCTGGCTTTGTGTCTATTCACTTTAAGTCATTAAAAAATTATATGTTTTGAAACAGTTGAGAAATCAAAGAGGAAGGATCAACTTCTTCAGTTTGCCAGGTCTAAACAAGCACGGACTGACACAGAACTATCAAGTTTGCGACAGGTACAACCCTAATTATGTTTCTGCTAAGAGATTATGAAGGCATTTTTCAGTAACATTAGATCTGCATGGAACAGTGTAAAAAAGTTAGATCTAGCTATTCTTAATTAGGGAAAAAAAATAATTTGCTGTTTCTGCCATGCTGGGATCCGTATGGAATGGGGTTTATTTTGGTTAACGTTGTGGTAGAAGTCCTTGTATTTACGTGTGCTTTTAGCCTTTTTTGTATAATTGTATTTACTCAGTCCTCCAGTGAGTAACCACCACCCTCACAGCAGTGAAGTGGGGGCACCCCCTTTAGATAACAAGTACATGAGAGGGGGTGGGAGGCTCCAGAAGTCAGGTGAAAGGCAGTGGGAATGGGACAGGCCCAAGGTGAATTCACACAGGGTGAAGGGGAAGGATGACCTGAAAGATCTGTTTTTTCAAGACAGACTTAAAACCAGCGTTTTCACTGCGCTCACTTGAGGTTCTCAAGGCATGTTCAATTTTTTTTTTATTCCAAATAATTGACTAGTGTGTTATCTTTTACGTTAGCTTTACAAAAAATCCCCTGCAGTGAAAGCAAAATACTATGATCATCATTGCATGGCCTGTAATTCTGCATAACTTTGAACATGTGTTAAATGTCAAATAACAATAATGATATTGTGCTTATGGTTCAGTGTGGTTCTGTTTCAGAAGACCACGCAGTCTTCTAATAGAAATACTCTTTATAGCCGTAAAGCATTCATGCAGAGATGGCCCCTTAGATTTGGAAGGCTTTGACAAGTTTGACTACAGGTATGGGTTTATAAAAATGTTTTTGAGGATATTTTTGGAAGAGAGGCAGTGTGTTAGGACTTGATGACAATGTTCCTGCACTTCCACTAATGCACATTACTATCTTTAAACAGATCTACGTAAAACAGCAGCGTGACTTGCAATTTCTTCATGTCAATTTGGAGAGCTCTCAGGAATTAAGGCAAAAGCATGAAAAGGCGTCACATGAAAGGAGGTAAATTTTTTTTTAAAGTAGTTTATTCTCAAAGAGAGACTTCACTGTTCACAACTAACATCCTGAAAGAGATGTGTCAAGATGGCTTTGCTGGACTCAGCCACAAATATCCAGTGAAGTTGTCAGATACCTTTTTTCACTTGTTCAGGAGATGCCATTGAGTATCAGTCACAGACTAAAGCGTTGTATGCAGGCCAGACAGTTAATGAATTTTTTAAAAAATGGAATAGACTGGTGGTAGAAGTGTTAATCTGACCTGCTACTCCTTTTGTTTAAAAATCAAAGTTTATTTTGCTTTCAAATTAGGAAACTGGTGTGCATTCTGGAGGCTCAGACAGAATCACCACACTATATAAAACATGAGGGAACTCTCAGACTGATTTTGGGAAGTAACAGCCAAATCTGGGCAGAATTCTGTCGGGTCTTGGCAGGACACAGCTGCCTGTTGGCCTAAGGACTGTGGCAGAACCATGGCTAGAGCCTTGGGTTGATGTAGAGCTTTAACCTTGGGTACAGTTATGTATGCTCTTTAAATGCAGTATTTCTGACTGTTTTCTTTATCGTGCCATTGTAGCATAGGTGTGGCATTCTATGCCCCTGAGAGTATCAGCGAGACAGACACGGTTAGGACTGAGGGCACCCACGAGATATGCAAGGAGTGTGGAACTGCAAAAGTTCCCAAAAGTAGGGTAAAAATCACCTCTGAGATGTGTGAAGTAGATAAGAGACTGTTACTGAACGCATCAGACTCGGAGGAAACTACCTCAGCGTACTTAAACCGGTGTCAAAAAGTTGTGAAAGTCTTGGCTGTCCTTACGGAAGAAGAAGAAAGGCAGGATGTTGCATCAAGCTCCGATGAGCTAGGCAGCAAACTATTTTGTGAGGTAAATAACACAACGCCATTGAGAAACAGTGAAATTTCTGAGAATGGAGTGGAGAGCAGAGACCAGCAAACCTTTGAGTCATCTTTACCTGAGTGTGAGCATTGGCTTAATGTCAGTTCTCGTGTAGATTCGCCAAGTACTTTGATCCAGAACGCCGTCGCATCTGACAAAACTGATAATGAAAATAAAACCTGGGAAGAGAGAACTGGAATTCTGTTTGGCCAAAAAAGCAGAGAGGCTCCTGCTGCAATTCACAAGTCTGAATCTGATTCCTGTAGTAGTAGCAACTTCACCATAAAAAAAGATGCCTGGTGGGAGCCAGTGTCAGATCCAGAATGGTTGAAGATTTTCAAACCCGTGAAAGGAGATGGAAGTATACGGGATGGAATAGATTGCAGCCATCTCAAGACTGCACAAGAGATGAATTGTGCCAGCTCAAAAAGGTTACGTGCTTGTTACATTTAAGAAATAGATAGGTACAAACTGGAGTTGTGTAGAAACTTGAGTATACAAGCTTTCCATAATTCATATTATCTTAAGTGATGTGTAAAGTAACTGCTGTTTTAAAATTAGCCTACCAACTTGAAACGTAGTAAATTTAAATAAGTTAAAATAGCTGTAAGGTATCATGCTTCTATTTTTATGCATTTATTTTTTTTGCATCTCTTATCCCCAAGAGCTGCGTGGGCAGGAGAAGCTGCAGTACTACATATCTTGCCAAATAAAGTAATTGAGAAAAATGCAGATTTGAAAAATCCTATGATTTTTTGAAATCCCAGACACCGCTTGTAAATCTGGTGGGTAAAATATCTTCTGACCAGAGCTGGACTTCTACAGTGATGTTTCTGTAAGGCAAGAAGCAAACCTAGATTTTGTGTGATGCTTTAGTGGCTGTGTTATTTGTGTTGAGAAATCACACAGTGGCTGGGCAAGAATGTAGGACACGGCTCTTCCGCACAGGCTGCTTTCCTCACTCAGGGCAAGAAAATGAGATGGCAAGATTTAAAGAACAGCAATCTGTCCACTCTCCAGTGCATCTTCCTTCATGGAACTCTATCCCTGTGTTTACGTTGGGGGAGGAGAAAGGGCGTGTGGTTGGGGATGAGCAGAATGAGGTTTCTAATGCTGAGAAGCGTCGGAAAAATACGCAGGTGTCTTAGTGGTACTGGGAGGTATCTGAGATATAAATGCTGCTTCACATTTATAGAAGTGGTTTTATGCCTGCACAAGCAAGGGCATTCAGAGTTCTGACTTTCTGTGGATTTGTTGTGTTGGTTCCTCTATTTCCTTTCAAAAAAATTGACTGACTTACAAGCTCTATTTTAGAAGGATTTCAGAAATTTCATAGCTGCCTTTTAGACAGAGATGAGAAGGGGGAGTAGCTCTTCAGCTGGTGGTTTGACAAGTACAGTAAATGAACAGCTGTTTAAACCTGCTAAGAATTTTAGCCAGCAAGTCTGCCCAATGTCCAGACAAACTGAGGTTATGGAATGGAAATATCTGATCTATGGACGCTTTCATTCTGTGTTCCTTTTAAAACAAAAATATTACAGAAATTGTTACTGCAGTGAGACAGACCTGCTCAGAAACAAGGTGAATGGACAGCTGATGAAAAAGAATGCTGTCCTGGCACATTCCCACACAGCTTAGCTGAGCTTCACACTGTGTATGGACTCTCTCTAGTTTCCACTGTCCATAAATCATTAAAAACACTCCACTGCCCTTAACATCTACCTTGAACTTTCTTATCTACTCCCCCAGCAACACAAATGACACACTGCCATCCCTCCAAATCTCTTTTGAGGCTGAATCATGAAAACTCCTTTCATTTTTTTGTCTTGTCCTTAAGGGGATTTTAGGGGAGAGGGAACAAATTCAACCTGGGCAGTGCAGATAGAGCCGATATCCCTCAGTACAGAAGGGCTGCTCTCCCCGTTTGCCATTTACTTCTGAGCTGTTGGGTTTTCTTGATGCCCACATTTGGTGCTAGGAGCCCTGCTAATTGGGGATGATTGACTCAGTGCAAATCCCAGACTGTCTGTGCTCCAGCCTCCGCTGACTCTGATTTGCCACGGAATAAATTCTCACCCCATAAATGGGAGGAGGGCTGTAGTATCACAGTCCTCAGCGTGGGCTTCTTGTTAAGGCATCAGTGGCAGAGACCGAACATAACATTCCTTCTGGGACTTGAATCTGGATCCTCCAGTTTTTCATTGCTGGCTCTGTAGTGCTGATGATGTATTTTGTGTGTAGGGAAGGGTGCTGGCACCTCCCTGTCAGCCCAGCAAATATTTTTGACATGAGTTCTTGAATTCTGGAACAGCCAACAAGAAGGCTATTAACACAGTCAAATACCTTATCCAACTGCAAGAGTGATTGTGAAATATTGTAGTGCAGGAATCATTTCTGTGTGCTCTGATTTAGTGACTTCATTTGTGTTGGATCAACATTTGCTGCCTTTGGATTTTTATCTCAATTCTGGTTTTAAAGATGGAGCGTCAGCAGTTAATTACTCAGTGTGCTCCTGCTGGATTAAGCCACTGTTCCTTGAGCCTTTGAGTCTCCCTGCCCCAAAATGAAATGGTTTGGGTCCCCCCCTCCCTCCCAACCTGTGTGTTTTTCCAGACAGGCTGTGCTCATTGCATCTCCTTGCATCCCCTGTTCTAGGCAGCCTGTTCCCTCACATCTCCCCAGGGCCTTTCCAAGCTCACAAACATGGGCTTTTCTCTCTTAAAAGAAAGCCTGTTGTATCCCGTGGTTTTACAAGAGAAGCAAAATGAGAGAGAGACCCTTCTGAGCTGGCATCCCTCACAAGGGCTTTTTCTTAGATTGAATGTCACTTAAAAATAAACCTTTTGGTAACAGTCTTGCTGTGTAGGGAATGAGTTGTATCTAAAGAACATCTAATGAAATGTTGTAAATTTGAAAATAGTATTTTCTTTAAAATATATGTGTTTTTTGATTATTTACCCAATATAGGCAGTGCTGTATTGTACAGCACTGTACTTCTGTTCCGTTCAGAAATGTGATGAATATAGAAGTGGTTTATTTTGGGGAGATGGTTGCTACTTTATTTACTTTTAAAAAACTGTATGAAGTGGAAACTAACAGTTGAAAATGAACACTGCATAGCTTGAAACTGCTGGCAGAAACCAGGGTGTTTCTTTGTAGAAGCCACATAGAGCGCAGGGGACAGAGGGCTCAGGTAGGGTGCTGCTGGGCTCCCAGAAGAACAGGTGATCCAGATAATTTCAAACGTGCTACAGCTTTTCTTATTTCTAGTCTTAATTTGTGATGAGCTCCAGTTGGTGCTGGAGCTGAGGGAGGAATTTGGTATACATTTTAATAAAATTGTAATTGAAGGAGTTGAAATTGAGAACTGTTTCTCTCTAGGGTGGGTTATAATAAAGTTACCTTTTACTGTGGGAAAGGTGTAAGAGAAAAGTTTCAATCGTTTGACGTGGATATTAAGGGCTAAAGACCTTTTGTAGCAGGACAAGTGTGGGATGGCTCTGAGTCAGTCTTTGGTCAGGAATAATGTACAAGGTATGATTTGTTACTTTAACTGTCATTTAAATTGCTTTTCAGATACTCCTAAATACACTCAGATGTACCCAGTGATAAATCAATTTAAAACCCAAGGCAAGGTGTACGCCATTAGATCATAGGCTTCAACTCCACACTGAAATGGTAGTCAGGCAGCTGAGTTTTGGGTTTAATCACAGTTTGCCTGAACAGCACTTTACTATTTGCTGCTGCATTTAAAAATAAATAAAAGAAAACCTCTTTGGGAAAGCTCTCCTGTGATCTCTGAAACGAGATGATGACTTTAAAAAGCCTATGAAATTCCCTTGAAAAGTCCACCTACAAATATTAGATTGCCTAATGTTTGATTAAAAAAAAAAAAAAAGGGGAGTAGAGTATGAGAGAAGAAAGAGTACCAGAGTATTGGGAGGAACTAGATATTGCCTTTTGTGTGCTCTTTACAAGGTTAAATAGATACTGAAGCACATGGTTGTGTAGCTGTTCTTGAAACTGGTTGAATGTCAAAATGTTGTCCTCAGAGAATGAAACTGACCTAATGAAGCTGTTAAACATGAGAGCCACTCTGAGGAACAGCGTAATCTCACATGCTTGATGGTTTTCTTGGCTCAGGGCCCATAATTATTTTTGTTGTCCTATGATTTTCCTTTGAAAGTTTAAAAAGAATGGTGGTGCTGTTTCTGGCAATGTCTTTTTTTTTTTTTAATAGTGAAGAAAATGTGGATCTGAATTCTTTTCGCGTGGATTCTCCCTGTTTGACATCCACCCAGAAAGGAGACAGACCTCCAAGATGTGAGAAATTCTCTGATGAAGACCTCCCTCTGGAGATCAATGACCTTTCAGTGACGAAGCCAACACATAGATGCTGCAGAGCTACCATGGACCAAGTCAGTGTTTTATTGCAGAACGTATTTCATTAATTTTTAAGGGGAATTGTGAGTGATGGTAGGAAAGCGAATGTCTGCTGGCGTGGAAGAACCGGAGACTTGAATGATGAGACAGCAGGTTTATAGCAAAGGTGGTAAATTATTTTTTCAAAATAATTCCTTCTTGTCTCAATATGTCTGAGTTAACTCACATAAGTGAGTTAAAAACCAGTGAAAGACTTTAGGATAATGAATGCTGGATGATATATGTTAATTCCAGTAAAGCAGAGTATCTGAGTACGCTTGGACACAGTTATTAGAAGCTATTGGACATTGTTTCTTTTTTTGTTCTGCCTGGTTTTGCCTCTTTGTCATGCCTTTTTTCATTCTCCCCTTTATCACTGAAGTGCTGCTGTTGTGTGTGAACATACATGTGCATGTGAAGATCTGTTAAAGAGCTGACACAAGGAGAGGCCTCTGTGTTTATTAGAAATACCAGCATTTAGACAGAGTTGGGGGCAGTGTTACATATGTTGAACGAAGGCATTTCCGAATGAAAGCGATGATTGTTGGTATGTTACAATCCTTTGACATATTCCAAAAAGATAATGTTGTAACTTTGACTCACTTTCTGTCTCCCCCAGGGCACCAATTCCCCCGTAAGTAAGCTGCAGCACGCGTTGGCCGAGTCTCGACAGATGGTTGCTGATCTGGAGCTTAGCACTCTCCTCCAGGCGAGCCCCCGCTGCAGCCCGAGCAGCAGCAGCCTTAATGTGGTGTGTATTACTCCCCGGGGACGAGATTTAGGGGGCTGGGAAGAGCCAGTGGTTACATTCTTCCCCTTGTGCTCGCCTTGTGCTGCGACATTATCAATATCCTCCTCATGTTTCTCCAAAGAGAAAACCCCTGCATACCTTAGCGTGAAGTGCTTGAAATCTTTCGTGGGATTCTTTATGGCTCCTCAAGGTCGTGACAGGATTTGACTTTTGCATGTGTCTAAACAGATGGAAGGAAGAAGTCATTTTGGGGCAAGCTGTGGGAGGTCTAGAAAAAAGCGAACACAAGTATGACTTATATTCAGAACTGGTTTATTACTCTGGATAAGGGAGGACAGTATAGGAAATAGGTGATATATAGAATAGCTTCGTATATGAATTTAAACTACACTCTCAGCTTAAATAATTTAGAGGTTTTACGGGTTAATAGTTTGAGTTTCTTCATTGCAGGGTCAAAGAACATACTCAATGGTTAAAGAAAATAATCTGTATGTAGCTGTCACGGCAATTTATTTTATGAGCATGAATGCTGATAGGGAGTTTCTGCCTTGACTCCGTGGACAGTAGGAGTAATTGGAGAAGGGTCACTTGTTTGTTTTCATAAATATCCTTAAGAGTTTCTACCTTGTTTGACAAGGAGATTATACCACTCGTCACTAGAAATGAGTAAACTCGTGCTGATATGTATCACAAAGGGAGAATTCAGACTTTTGGTGTTAAAGCAGGCTCCTAATGAGGCTGCATGTGGAAATTCAGCTTTCTCCTGAAAGGTATTACCTCTCTAAAAAGTGTTACATTCCTTATATCCTTAGATGAACTTGACCAGAACAGTGGTACTGTAAGTAACAGACAAAGCAATTTTGATAACATTCAGAGCCATGAAACCTTAGCTGTGCTGGGCCTGACCGACCGAGTAGAAAGGTTGTGTGCCAGCATTTGCATAAACTGAAAGGATATGTTGTTCAGAAATTCATCTGCGGGATTTCATTCAGCGTCAAAGACAGCAGCAGTGTAGTCTTTTGCAAAGGCTGGCTTGTAGGAGGGATTCCTGAAAAGCTCTCTACAAAACAGTGGCTGCTTGTGGCTCCTGCCCAGCCCCATCAGCTGTCTGGCTCCTGCTTACTGGTTGGCACGTCACAGCTCAGCTGAACCGAGCCGTCCTTTCGTAGCCAGCATGATTCTGCTTTATAACCTGAAACTGTGTTTTTGAGCTTGGAAACTGACTTCTGATTCAGAGCAGTTGCTTTAGTGGGTAGAAAATAAAGCAGGCTGGTGTTTACTGGCGGGGGTAGCTTCTGAACCACATCTGTAGAACTTTGATCTGTTTTCAGAGCGGTTCTGGGCAAAAACTTGTCGGGCGTGTTTTAGTTAATCTGTGCAGGCCAACAAATCTGTGCTTAAAACCAGGTTTACCTGAGGCTGTTTTAAACTCTGCTTTAAAACACAATGCATATAAAATATAACTCTTGGAATTTAATCAGTATTTGTACCTGTTGGATTCTGTGCCCTGCTTGGGGGAGGGAGAAGGAGGAATTAAAAAGCGTCTCCTTGCTGCTCGCCAGTTTGAACCTGGCAGCTCTGTAATTTTTATTATGTGAGTTCTTTGATTTCCATGTAGTGTTTTTGCATTACAATGTAGACAGCAGAACTTGAAGAAGCTCTTCACAGAACCCAGTTATCTGCTGCAGAAGAAAGAAATGCTAAGCTTACCTTCTCTTCTCTATGATGCGGCGTGAGTATTGAAGGTGTTTTCAACTTGATTTTTTTTGTTGTTGTTGTTGGCTTTTTCTTTTGGGGTGTTTTCAACTTGATTTTGTTGTTGTTGTTGTTGGGTTTTTCTTTTGTTTCCCTCTTTATAAATGCACCTGCATTATTAATACAAGTTACAGACTTCTGAGCTGGGTCTGACACAAGATTCTAAGTGCACTGCTTGGAATGCATTTCCAATAAAACTCTTGTGAGTGCTGTAACAACAAACAAATACGAAGGCAGCAAGTCATTCCTGTGGTCAAATCATTAAACTTTTCTCAAGCATGTTCCTCATGCTCTGGGCAGTCAGATCTTGCAGCCTCATTCCTGAGTACCTGCACGCTGCTTATTGTAGTTAAAATCCTTCTGTGTGTTACAGATAACAGGATCAAGGATATGAACATTGTTGAATAAAAGACCGGGAAGTGTTTTTCAGTGTCGTGGCCAAGGGCCGTTGTAGTGTATTGTTCCTGGGCTTGGAGCTCCAAAAGTAAAAATCTATTGAATAGAGCTGTTTCAGAAAAAAAACAGCCTTGCCCATAGCGGATTGTTTTTTCTTTTTGAATCAGGAAATTTCTCATTCTCTGATTATTTGTTCTTCTGACGTGGACTGGACACTTGCAATAGGCACCATGTTGTCTGGTTCCGAGGACAAGAGAGTAACCAGATACAGTTAAAATACTGAACACTACATGAAACTGAAAAAGAACTAGCAACAATGAGGGGGAAATTGAGAAAAAAAATAATCTTCCAATGCTGCCAGCAACCCAAGTGCATGTCTGCAAAGGGAAGTTGTTACACAGCAAGCTGGAGTGTGAAGCTGTGGGGCACTGGATTTCTCATGTGGATCAACTTCGATCCAGCAGGGAGCTGGTGCTCACTTCTCTCCGGGAGCGTTCGAACAGCAGTCTATGCACTGGTTCTCCCCTCTGGAGCTAAACCTTCTGTGCCCCTGGGGAGCAGTGATGGTTTGTAGCCCCTTTGTGTTCTGCTGTTTCTGCATTAGGGATGGAGACACCAAGTCTCCTTTCCAAATAAGTTGGGTCTGCTCAATGCACGCTAATGGGGCTTCTGTGGGAAATGGCTGCTGAGTGGCTGGAATGCTGTACCTTACTCTGCTCTAATGTTCCCTATGGAGAGAGCTCTTCTTTTCCTAAAAAGAGCCCTGAGGTAAAAGAGGCTGGAGGTTTTATAGATGGAAGCCAGCACCGTGACTTGCATCCTGAAACTACTGACGTTAAAAAGTTTCAGGAGCAAATCCCCCAAATTGCTGAGCAGCATGCTGATGCAGCAGAGCGCTGGGCGCACGCTTAGCCTACAGAAATAATCTCATTTGCTTGGAGTGAGGAAGAACTGGTGGAACAAATGTGCCCACAGTTCACTGTAGATCCATGACAAGAATTAGTGACTCTGCAAGTCACCGGCAGCTGCATAATTCTTATTTTCTTCATTTATTAAAAGGCACTAAATCACTGTGATCAGTTAAATCCAAAGCAGCTTTTGCAGATTTGGTAGCGGGTCCCAGAAATAGCTAAAGATTTGTGCAATTTCATGTAGAGAAGTGATTGAATTGATTTGGGTTGGCTTTGTGTTTGTTTCAAATTGCTTTGAAGTCATTTGAGGGCAGGTGCGCTGACAAACGTTAGGTTAATTTCCTAATGAGCTGACAGTGATTAAGGCCTTTTCATCAGTGGGTTGTTTTTCCTTTGGAGGGATTGGGTGGGGGAGAGCTGAAGAGCAAGGGTGGAAAGCAATGAGTAAAAGGATATATTTGGGTTTGGACACCGTAGCATGTGCCACTGCTCGTAAACTGTGACTCAGTGGCTGGCCCAGGCCACAAAGATCACTCCTTTTTGCAGAACAAACCAGACAGATGTTATTTCCTAACACGGTGAGACTGTTGTCTTTCTGTGAAGTGCTTTATTTACCTTTCTCCTCTTTCTATTTTTACTCTCTGTTTTTACTCTATGAAAACTCTATGTTTTCATTGTCTGCAGTGTGAAAATTTATATAGCCAATTGGCTTATCTGTGATGGCTTCATGTATTTCAGAGGAAATGTTCCTGCACTTCAATAAAAATCTTTACTTTTTCTGCAGCGGGTGAAGACGTTTCCAATATAGAATATTCCAATTGTGAGAACTGAAGATCATCGACCCGTCAGCTACGATGGAAAGTTCCCTAATTTTTTTCCGTGGTTCTGTGAGTGTTTGAAAAACTCTCAAGCGGCAAAAAGCTGTGACGATGCAGGAATATATTTTATCTTGAAATAAAACATAGAATTATGCCAAGATTACCAAAACTATTTTTATAGCTGAGAGCTCAGGTTAAACACTAGCTTGTTTTTTAAGGATCTTAAGTGTGTAATTGTTACGACATAGGAACTATTTTTTTTACTTTTTTTTTTTTTATGGTGGCTCAGAAATATTTATAGAGGATGACACAGCCGAGCTTTCTTTTTTTTTTTTTATGGGGGCTCAGAAATATTTATAGAGGATGACACAGCCGAGCTTTCTTTTTTTTTTTTTATGGGGGCTCAGAAATATTTATAGAGGATGACACAGCCGAGCTTTCTTTTTTTTTTTTTATGGGGGCTCAGAAATATTTATAGAGGATGACACAGCCGAGCTTTCTTTTTTTTTTTTTATGGGGGCTCAGAAATATTTATAGAGGATGACACAGCCGAGCTTTCTTTTTTTTTTTTTATGGGGGCTCAGAAATATTTATAGAGGATGACACAGCCGAGCTTTCTTTTTTTTTTTTTATGGGGGCTCAGAAATATTTATAGAGGATGACACAGCCGAGCTTTCTTTTTTTTTTTTTATGGGGGCTCAGAAATATTTATAGAGGATGACACAGCCGAGCTTTCTTTTTTTTTTTTTATGGGGGCTCAGAAATATTTATAGAGGATGACACAGCCGAGCTTTCTTTTTTTTTTTTTATGGTGGCTCAGAAATATTTATAGAGTATGACACAGCCGAGCATTCTTTTTTTTTTTTTTTGTTAGTTTATTGTTTGTTCTGGATTTCTTGCCGTGTGGAGAGAGATGAATAATGTTTATAGGAAGTTCCCAATTAGTGTTGTAACCAGGAACTGCCTCCTAGGGTGTTGAAGCAGGAGGGCTGTCACCCACAGGGTGGGCAAAACAGCTCCTCCCCGCCAGGAGCTCTGTGTTCTACCAACAGCTTTTTGGGAGATGAGGTGTGGGACCAGCATAACGGCACCTGCTTTTTACCATTTAAACTGGTTTTATCTTCGAGTATTGGGCAAGATGTGGTCCACTATCACAATTTGAACTTATTTTTTAACTAAAAGATCAAATAAGCTAATAAAGGTGATCCCTTTGCTGTACCTTTCATGCCTATTTTAGACACCGTCCAACACATTTAGTCTTTAATTCATGGTGGTTCTCTGGGGCATGTGACACCCACTGCCCAAGACATGAGTGGGCCACTGGGTTGTGTGGTTTGGGATGGTTTGGGCCACTGGGTTGTGTGGTTTGTGATGGTTTGGGCCACTGGGGCCAGTGTCACGTTCCTGAGCCCTGTGCCAGCGTTTTCCCTGCGTGGGGGTGGCGAAGGGGTGGGAGTCTCTGGGTCTGTCCAGGTGCCACCAATTAATTGCAGTGAAACACAACACTCGCGCCACCGTTTCCCCTTGTTAACTCTTTCATATAATTCTCCGCTTTCTCTTTAATTACCTAAATGACAGCCTGCTTTGCTTCGTCTACTAATGGCCCCAAAGTTAGCTGGCCATTTCTGATGGTAGCTGCTGTCCTCCAGACTCTTTCCCTCCCTGCCCACAAGTGTTACCCAGAGGGAATCTCTGCTGCTCGGGGTTTTTTTCCTTTCAAGCCTTTAAAGCCCATTTGCTTCTTCCACCTGCAGAGAAACTTTCCAGGCTCCATCCTCAAAATCTGCTGCTGTGGGTTTGACAAAAATTCCCCCCTAAAAAAGCCACCCATAGCAATACCGTGATGCTCACCCCAAGGTTGACCACCAACTACACCCCACGTCAAACCCCAGAGAAACCAGTGCAGATTTGTAGTGGGAGCTCTGCTTCCTGCTTTAAACTGGTTTAGTGTTGGCAGAGGAACGCACTGAACCCCTGTGTGAACTTAAAGCTCGTGGCTTCAAAAATTAAGATGGAAAACTGAGCTTTGGCGATGAAACAAGGATCTGCAGAGGGCTTTTGTGTTGGGGCTGCCCTGGATTTATGGAGGGGGCAGAAGGGGAATGTTGGGGCTAATGGACTCGGGCACAGAGTGAGTTACAGACCGACTGCGTTACCTGCCACGCTCTGAGGCTCTGATGGAAACTCGGGCCGCATCAAACACGGCTGCCTTATTTCTGGAATCCTCCAGGGAGTTGCCTTTGCTATTGTATTCCCGCGCTGCGTTATTATTAAAGAAAACAAAAGCCGCTGTTGAGCCGGGGCCCCCTTTCCGCAGGGTGGACGCTCTCTCTGCCCATTGACTCTTGCGAAGGGAGGGTTTAAGTGCGGGGGCAGCGACGGGGCTCCGAGTCCCCCCAACCTGCGTGTGCTGGGGGGGTGCGTTCGAGGGCACGCTCTGAGGCTCTGATGGAAACTCGGGCCGCATCAAACCGGGCTGCCTTATTTCTGGAATCCTCCAGGGAGTTGCCTTTGCTATTGTATTCCCGCGCTGCGTTATTATTAAAGAAAACAAAAGCCGCTGTTGAGCCGGGGCCCCCTTTCCGCAGGGTGGACGCTCTCTCTGCCCATTGACTCTTGCGAAGGGAGGGTTTGGGGGGCTCCGTTGTACCGTCGCAAACGGGAGGTCCAACGGGAGGCGGAGGGAAAGCGCCGCGGTGGCTCCTTCCCGGCGGTGACGCTCCCGGTGCCCACGGGCGGGGGTTGACCCTCGGGGGGGCGCCGGGCCCGTTCACCGGGCATTTCAGTCAGTGTTGTGCTGAGCCCAAGCTAATATGCCCTAATCTAGCCCAGTGGTATTGAGAGCTGCTTATCTACTAGATTTTCAGTCCTGTTCTTTGCTCGAATCCAGCCTGAATCCTTTTAGGCATTTTCAGCAAATATAATAGTAATTATTGTGTATTAGGGTTACATGGCAACACGGAATACACAGGACATTTGGGCTAGCTGTTTTGTTTCATTTAGTTCATAGACGATTTGATTAGGTACATAGCAAAGCTGTTAAGAACAATGGAGCTACCACAGAGTTCCATGAATGAAGTTGAGCTCTGAGTATAACTTGCTGGAGCTGTTGGTGTAACAAAGATTTTAATGTTTGACCTTCCCCAGGAGAAGAAGAGAGAATTACAAATTAGATGTCTATCCCAAATAAAGACCCAAAACAAAACACTAGACACTATATAATCTGGTTGCTTCCCAAATCCCAGCAGGCTGGCAGGCAATCTACAAATGGCTGGAAGAAATTTTTGCAAACAGCTTGACTGGTAACATACCTTAGCTGCTAATGTGATGTAAAAAAAAAGGGTACACTATTCAACAAGCTAGCTTGGGTACATAGCCTCTGGAGTATGTCCCATAGTGTCTTCTTAGACGATATTTCTAGCTTCAATGGCTGAATATGTAGTCTTGGGAAGGGTCACAGAGCTCAAAGCCCCGGTAACGCGCCTCTCCGCATCCCTGCCACGGCCACCGGTCCCACTCCCCGTACCGGCCCGGTGGCAACCGCGGGCTGCCCTGCCAGACCTGGGGCTGTTTGGATGTGTCACCCCCCGCGGCTTTGGGTCACTCGTGGGGTCTCCCCGCGGGGGTCGGGGGTGCCCGGTCCCGGGGAGGGGGGGGCAGAGTGAAACGAAAGCCCAGATGCGTTAGTGCCCTGTGGTGCCCTGTGGACGGGGGGTGCCCCCAGCCCTTCCTGTGGCCCCCACAGAGCGGGTGATGCTGGGGCACGACGGGGCTGGCGTGGGGGAAATGAGTGACTCCAGGAGCGTGGGCAGGGATGGACAGAGGGACGGGCTCACCCGCTCCCCCAGCAAAAATAATAGTGCCCTCTCGGCACGTGTCCTCTGACCGCTCCGATTTCAGGGGTGCAAATCCACAGCAGATGTTTTCCCCCTCTCTCCGTTGCTTTGCTGGTCCTGCCCCGGTGGCTGGGCCAGTTTGGTCCTGGTGAGTGCTGGCAAAGGCAGGTGACTATTTTGGGCCTTGTGGGGTCACGGTGCCGCTTGGCCGCACTGGGCAGGAAGAGGAGCTTGTTGGGTTTGGGGAGCAACACGAGAAAACCGGCAATTCCGGTTCCTTCTGGACGTGTCTCCTTCAATCGTTCCCACTGGGCACTGCTGATAAATAATCACAGCAGCCCTGCTGCCTCCTGCGCCCAAGGGCAGCCTGTGCCGGCCACCCTGTCCTTCCCTCCCTCCTGCCCTTCCAAGGCATTTTGGGCTTTTTGGTGGGATTTGTGCCCCACATGGGTGCGACTTCACTCGTGGCCACAGGGATGCCTTGGGGGCAGAGCCATGTGTGGGGCGAGCGGGTGGTCACTCTCGATTAGAGCTAAACCTGGGGCTCACTGACGGTCACATCCACCACCCAGAAGGGACCTTTTATTTTTTTTTCCCCAGCGACTGCTGAAAACTGTCCTAAAGGAGCTTTATCCTAACGTGGTTTCCCGTAGCGGCGCTTCGGGTGAGAGCAGAACTGTTCCAATGTCAGTACTTGGGTATTGATTGGGCTTTTACATCTAATTATAGCAGCAGCGGAGATGGCTGCCGGTTGACTTTGTATCGTGGGGACAACCAGGGGCATGTCCCCTCCGTGGGCCTTCGCTGGCCGAGGATCTCACACCGTCTGGAGAACGATGCTGCCAAAACCAAACCCCCATCTCCTTGCTGCCAGCGAAGGCCGGGGCGATGCCCGCGGGTGCGGAGGGGGGTTGCTGGTGCTGGTGTGATCCCAGGTGCTGGTGGGTGACGTGAAGGTCACCTCCTTTCCCTGAAAATGC